GTCGAGCACCCTAACCAACTGGCCATGCCGGGCCAGGAGGGGGCTGAAAAGTTTATTTGTTTGCTGGTTTTCGGATATTCAAGCAAAGCTCTACAGGGTTTATTAATTTTGAACTGATAGACTAGAGAGAACACAATTATTGTATAGCAACCACCTCCAACTTTTCCTCTACTCTTCTATGACCCCATAGTTAAACTTCATCGTCACTTTTCTAAATTAAGGAGCAAACATTTTTTTTAAGTAACGGGACACGAACATTGGATCTACAATCAGTCACGCTAACTCTCAGGGCTGAAGAAAGCTGACATAGTTCGAAAATGTGGATCATGTTACGGGATTTGTTACCCAACATGAACAAGTGCGTTTCATACTTTAACACCTCCGATGGGGTACAAAAAAAATAAATAAAAACTGGCGTCACATCTATCTGGAAAGTTACACAGTGTTAGACTCTTTTGGCGCTCAGAAAAAGCACAAAGTTGTGTGTGTGTATAGACAAATACTACATTAGTGTAGAACATTACTAAGCCTACTTTGTTAGATATATAATAAATATATAAGAGCAAATTACAAAAATACTTCTTAAACAACTATAAAATTATTAATAACATCGTTAAAACAATTAAATGTCATTAAAGATACTTTCTTAAACAAAGGGTGCGATTTCATCTCGTGGTAGAGGTCTGAGGGTTGATCTTGTGGTAGAGGTCTGAGGGTTGATCCTGTGGTAGACGTCTGAATTCCGGAGCTGGTGAACTGAATTCGTATCCGTGCGATACACAAAATATTTCTGCACTTCAAGCTTTGGGTACGTTATAAGAGTGGCAGTCAATACTAAGCGTGTATAATATGTGGTAGAGTACTACTGAGTGGCTGCCTTCCCATTGGTCAGTAGTTCAAAATGAGGGACGTCAGCAGCTAACTTTAGCAGCTTTGCCATTGATACAAAACACAAATACGATTAGAAAAGTAGGATAAAAGTGCTGTACAAAACTGAAAGAAGTCCGCGTTAAGCTTTGAAGTTCATCAGTAGAAACAGATATGATTTTCATAATGAACAATACATAGGATTTAGTAGGCTATTTAACAACAAGTTAAAATATGTAAATCAGGAAGTCACGTGACAACCACAGTCGTGGTGCAACGGAATGTATCAGAACTACATTTTAACATTGTTTGACGTGTCGTAAATAATAGTGTGTAAAAAAATATATCGCTTTTGAAAAGGGTGTGCAACAGCCCTTTCCGACGCAAAATATCCACTTACTATGATCATAAGATGAGTTCAGACTGATGATGATATCCCTTGTACTTAACGACATTACAAAACAAAGGAATCTGTGTCAACTTGAGAAACCACGACTATCCGGAAAGAAGCCTGCAACAATTTGTACCTCAGCTATGGTAAGTAAACTGTGGCATCTTGTAAGAGGTGAGAACCCACGGACACAAAAATCAGTGGCAAAAGCAGTTCACGTGTCTTAGGCTTCAGTATCCAACTTAATCAAGAATGATCTACATGTGGACAAACAACACAAGTCAAATCTACACAGTCTGCTTTTTACGACATATCTGTTCAACAGCCACATACCTCAAATAGCTGAATAATGTGAAGGGTATTCATGCTATTCCATATGATGATGCACCGGTAAAGTAGCGGACGCAGCACCTTCGAATTTCTGTGCAACAGGACTGTTTAAACGGGCGCTAGGAAACTGTCGCCCTTGTACACTAGATGGATTATGGAAAACAAGCAGGTAGAAGTGGCGTGCTTTGGACATGACAATCTTACTACGAGCATTTTGCAAAGAAAACAATACTCCAAGGCTATTGTCAACATGCACGATCGTCAGATAGACCGGACATGACGACATGGACTGTGATGACGTGGTAAGGACCCAAAATTAAATTTAGTATAACGTACTCAACCTCTATAACTGTAAAACAAACGGAATAGCTAAAATCTCAGAATTTTATTAAGAGAAGCAGTTAACAAGAGCAAGAAGCGCTCACACAAAAATACTGTAAACAACGAAACTCAAACACGAACAAAAATATAAAACTTACTGACCTTTAGAAGAAAGAAAGAAACAACAATTAACAAAGCCGTAATCGTTCAGACAGACGTTTTCTTTTAACTACAAGCCAGCAGAAACGTGAAGTTATTTATTACGCAAGTGGAGATAGAATTGCACTATTTTTCTGTGCTAAAATGTGAACTTTGGTTCAAATGGATAGATACACTGGCTAATACATGAAAACGACAATAAGAGCAAATAATAATAATAATAAAACTCTAATATCTTTAAACAAACCACAACAATAATGAGCATTTCGTAGGGACCCGCACGCGTTTCGGTGAGGGATTTCATCAGTTTCAGAGCAATATCGTATCAGGTTCGATGTTATGTGATCAAAGGTCACTCAATATACTTTAGACAGCCGCGGTGGCTTGCTTTGAATTATGTTCGTTCTTCCTCTTCATTGGGCTATACTTATTATATATGCCTCGTGGTTTCAACGTCTGTAAAGATTATATTAGGCGTAGAGCTTATGTTAAACGTTCCCATTTTATATAACTAATACTTGAAACCGTCAGTATTTAGTAAAACTCCATAATTATAGAGTTGAGGAAAGTTTGTGGTTATTTAATGCTACAATGTAAACATTTTGTGGTTATTTAATGGTACAATGTAAACATTTTGTGGTTATTTAATGGTACAATGTAAAAGTTTTGTGGTTATTTAATGGTACAATGTAAACATTTTGTGGTTAGTTAATGGTACAAAGTAAAGGTTTTGTAGTTATTTAATGGTACAATGTAAAAGTTTTGTGGTTATTCAATGGTACAATATAAAGGTGTTGTAGTTATTTAATGGTACAATGTCAAAGTTTTGTAGTTATTTAATGATAAATTGTAAAAGTTTTGTAGTTATTTAATGGTACAATGTAAAGGTTTTGTAGTTAT